CACACCATCCAGTCTCACTCTCTGCCATGGTCAGGGACACCTTCTGCTATTCCAGGTTGCTCCAAGCCCTATCCAATCTGGCCTTGGACACTTCCAGGGATCCAGGGGCAGCCACAGCTTCTCTGGACCCTGTGTGCCAGGACCTCACCATCCTCACAGCCAACAATTTCTCCCCATCTAATGCTGCTCTCTGGCAATTTCAAGCAATTGCCTCTTGTCCTGTCCCTCCATCCCTTGTCCCAAGTTCTGCTCCAGCTCTCTTGGAGCACCCTGAGGCACTGGAAAGGGCTTTAAGTTCATGATATTTAATTCTTACCATGGTCCCTTCTGCAGATTTGGCCTGGGCTGACCATCTCTTTCTTGGTCAATGCCTGGACACTCCTTGGAGGATGATAATGTCTAAGAGTTAACACAAGCAACCTTGCTGAGTTCAGAATTAGGAGAGGAATGGTTATTTAGGCTTCATAGATGTGATCCTTAGTGTTGGGTCCAGTGGACAGGTCAGGGTCTATTTTATAATTTTATTTGCCAGTGAAGATTTAGCTCAGTAGTTCTTACTCTGGATCTACAGGAATGGTGTACTTTTTTTTTTTTTTTTTTTTTGACAGAACTTAGGGATGTTTAAGACATTTTCAGCAGACTTGCACTTGATTGGTGAGTCTTGACTGGTAAAACTGACTGGTACAGCAGTAGGAAAAAGGCTTAATGTAATGTATCCTGCTGGGCTGTCATTCAACAGAACCAACTTTCCACTTCTCCTTCTGGCTGTAACTCATTGTGTAACTTCAGAGAGTTTTTTTTTTCTTTTTTCCACCTCTTTCTCCAGTCCTCCTTGATTTTTGTCAGCCTGCATAAATTACAGGCACGTTACACAACGGATGGATACTTCCCAAATGGCTGAAAAATTGGTGACTTCAGCTGTTTACCCACTTTTTTCTTTCTTCCTTTGCAGCTGTTAACAATTGATGACAATTTCTGTGGCCTGGATATGAATGCCCCCTTGGGAGTATCATCCATGGTGCGAGGGCTCCCCATTTTCACCGAGGATGGGGACAGGATGACCTCGGTGATTGCCTACGTCTACAAGAACCACTCCCTGGCTTTTGTGGGCACCAAGAGTGGGAAGCTCAAGAAGGTAAGACCTACTGGTCCTCTAACTCAGGTTTTCATGTTTTTATGGTGATTTAAGTGTTGCGTCGAGCACGAGCGCAGTCCTTGTCCTAAGGTGCTCCTATTTTGAGGATAAAAAATTGTTTGGTTGGCCAAAAAACTGTGTTTCACCCTCAAGGGATAAAGATGGTCTGAGAAAGGATAGAATCCTCCTTCCAAGTGGTTATTCATCAGGAAATTAATGCTTCAGAAGTCAAACCACAGTCGCAGATGGACGTGATGTAATTTGCATCCAACAGAATTTTTTGGTGTTCAGACCATCTCTAATTGAGTCACTGATCACAGGGTGTCTGTGCATGCTGGAGAAAATCAGACAGGGGATGAAGTTTGGGAAACAGGATCCATGCTCTGGAGATCTTTCTTCAGGGCAGTGTGACTGGGCTGTGATCTCACCACGAGCCCAGCACGGGATCGGGGGCTGCCCTGCTGATGTCAGCCTGGGGTTTGTGCTGAAGGAAGAGGGTTTGCATCAAAGGAAAGCTGTGTCCTGAGCCATAATGAGCTTTGTGTTTATGGCTGATGCCACACAAATAGAATCAAGACTGTGTTTGTGTCCCTCTCTGGGCATTCTCACTGAAATTTGCCCATTGCATGGCTGGGGTTTGCCTTGTGAAGCCCCCAGAGAGGCCGGGGAGGTGGAATCCTCTACCTGTGGCTTTCCCAAGAAAAGAAGAGTTGTTGGAAGTGGGCTAATGATGGGCTCTGGCTCCATTTCAGCCGCTCTGTGCCAGTCGGACAGTGTTGGTCTGAATGTTCAGCCCAGGGGTGTTGTAAGACATTGCCTGTGCAAGGAGGTGGTGGCTTGGCCATGGCCATGGAGATGGGGGAGAAGCTGGGAAGGGAGGCTGGGCAGAGCCTGGAGATGTTTTAGGATGTTGTTTCCTGTTTAAATCCCTTTTGTGAGTAAAGACTTCCAAGCTGGGGCAAATAAGGTGATGTGAAAAGGTGACCCACTGTGGCTTGTGGGGAGTGAAGGGAGTTGTTTGTTCATGGATGCTTAGGGATAGTCTGGAATCTCTGGTTTTATTCTCTACCTGTTTCTTCACTTGAAAAGCAAATCTGGACTGTAAATTCAGATGGCATTTCCCCCATGCTGAGGGAGGAATGGGATCCTGCCCACTGGCAAATGTCTCTGGCTTTGCTCAAAGCGGAGGAAAGGCTGCTCATGCTTTTGAAAAGAAAATGTGGTAGTTTTTTTTATTATTATTCAGGCATGTGAAAAAGGAGCCAAATGGTTTTAAAAAATGGTCATAATAAAAATAATCTCCTCCCCTGGCTAATTAGCTTTTGCTTCCCTGTCATGTGTGATATCAGAATAAACTGTTCAGTTCTCCAGTCAGTCTCTTGGAGGGAGGGAAATGGGGCAGCTGAGATCTGAATGGTAAATATCAAAAGGACCTAAACTCTTAATGACTGCTCTCCCTGCACTCACAAGCTTTTGGTTGGGTTTTTTTTTGGCTTCAGGAGAAGAAAACTCAGCCACAGCTCTGTCTTTGCCTTTGCAGGTCGCACTGCAGAGTCCAAGATCTGATTCCTTTTTAATAGGGGAAAATAGGAGAGAAATCTTTCTGTGCTTTATGGAGTGTGGTAGGGAGCAGGGACAGCCTTATAGGGTAAAGAATGAGCAGAGGAGAGCAGAAGTGGCTGGTGTAACTTGAGAAAGGGAATAAAATGAAGCTTTTTCCTAACATGCTGAATATTCCACTTGTGGTAGTTCTAACTTTGGGTGAGTTGGAGCAGGGCTGGAGCCTTGGGCTGAGATTTGCTCAGGTGAATGAATTTCCACCAAAGAGGCAGAACACAAAGCAAAATGAGGCTCCCTAACCATGTGTGATTGCTTTGGACCAGTTGATCCAGACTCCTGGAAACCTTTAGGTCCAGCCCAATCCTTGCTGTGTCTTCTGCAGTCCCTGACTTTCCTCCTCACATTGTCCCCCTCCAGTGCTCCTGAGGGTGTCTGACCCTGGGACAGCAACCTGTCACCTCCTCTGCGTGGTTTGGCACTCAGGGCTTTCCCTTGATGCTCCTTGACCCCTGCCATGGCCCTTTGGATGCTTTATTTTCCACCTTGGCTCATCAATCAGGTGCTGCCAGCAAAATGCTGCATTGGGACTGCAGCTCCAGCATAATTCATTATTTCACCACAAAGTTTGTTCTCTGTTCAAAAACACTGGTAAATTGGAGTAAGCCTTGTAGGATTAGATGAAACTCCTGGACAAATCCCAGGAGCTGGGTATTTCTTTTTTTATTTTTTGTGCTGTTGGGTCCTACCAGACGTGTCACACTCTGCTGCTTCTCCTGGTGCAGTGCAGCTCCTTGGTCAAGCTGCAGTGGAATATTTGGGATGGATAAAAAAAGGAGTTCTGAGATTATCCCCAAGATAGCAGGATTTATTCTGTGCTTGGAAGACTCACTGCAAGTCATTACAAGATGGTTTTGGAGAAACTTTGCTGCTTTTTTTCCCCTGCAGTTTCAGTATTTTCCTCTCTGTGTGGTTTTTTTTTTATGTTTGAAAGCGGCAGACTGTGTATCAGGTTTTGATTTATGTGATCCATGAATGCTCTGCAAAATACCCACAGTCATAAAGCAATATCTGTTAGTTGATATACAAATGTCACATGTGTCAAAGGAATTTATCCAGTGGCACACACAACTGAAGGAAAATATTGTGCTTTATGGGAACGTATCATTAAAATGAATACTAGCAGAGTATCAGGAGTCTGCCCATGTAACCAAGACAACAAAGAGGGAAAGAAAAGGAAAAACCAAGATAGAGATAGGGCAGGGAAAGTGTGAGTGAAACCGAATGACACGCTTGGCCCCAGCTATTTCAGTGCCCCAGGCAAAATACATTTTGCAACCCCTGCTCATTCACAAAGCTCCCTGTGCAGTCCATCAGGAAGGCACAGAATAATGTGCTGGAGAAATATTCCCTCCAATTCTGCTGCCTTGTCCATGGCACAGCCCTATTGTATTTACTGGGATCCCCAGTGAAGAAAGGAATGATGAATCTGACTCCATGTTCTCAGAAGGCTAATTTATTTTTTTATGATACTATATTATATTAAAGAATACTAAACTAAACTATACTAAAGAATACAGAAAGGATACTTAAGATAGAAAGTTAAAAAGATAATAATGAAAACTCGTGACTCTGGAGAGAGTTTTGACACAGCTTGGCCCCAATTGGCCAAAGAGTGAAAATAACTCATGGCACAATCCAATGAAACAATCACCTGTGGGTAAACAATCTCCAAACACATTCCACATGAGCACAACACAGGAGAAGCAAATGAGATAAGAATTGTTTTCCTTTTCTTTGAGGCTTCTCAGGAGAAAAATCCTGGGTGAAGGGATTTTTTCAGAGAATGTGAATATGACACAGCCCAGCCCTTCAGAATGAAGAAATAAATAGGATAAAAATGACGAGCTATGGAAAAGGAAAATTTCTCCCGGTCCGTATCTAACACATAAAACCCACTGTCCTTGCATTAAAGGTTTCATGGAGGGTTGTGGGTTCTTGAAGATGGAGAAGGGTGGCCCAGGGAGAAGAAGTTCAGTCCTTTGCTCTGCCAGGAACTTCTGGTGTGCCTCCATGTCTCATTTCCTCTACTGCAAATGGCAGGGAATGTTTTCCTTGCTCAAAGAGTGTAGGAGAAAATGAATGTTTTAAGTGCTGTGAGGTGTATGTTCACCTCAAACAGCTTAATTCAACAGATCAGGTGGGATGGAAAACCACTCCTGGCCACTTGTGTCATTGTTTAATGAGAAATATTTAATCTTGCTGTGCTTTGGTTAGAACCCAGTGTTTGATTTCCTCCTGTGCTGGCTGTCCCATGTGTCTGTGCCACTTTGGTGGTGAGTGTTCCCACAGTTTAGTACAATCCAAGGATCCTGATGGGCATCCTTGGCTGCAAACCCCTCTGCACCCTGGGGAATGCTTCAGGCAAAACCCATGGCTGAAATGCAGTTGGCAATCCTGGGAGTTTTTAGTGATTTTTTTCCAGGAGATGCAAAAAGAAACTCGAGTTTAGCAAATGTCTGGTTTGTCTCCCTGCAAACAGCACAGGAGCTATTCCTGGGATTGTTCTCCCTACAAACCACTCTGCTGTGAAACAGCCAGGTGCCAAAATTCCCTGGCTTTTAAGTTTTTCCTTTGCTCACTCTCTCATTCACACTCAGCTCTTCAGTGGCAGGAGAAAAGCAGGGATGTACCCATGGGCTTGGTTTGGATTTTTTTTCCTGGTGCCACTAACACCTGGCATCACTAAAAGAGCGTAGCAGTATTCCATATTCCTTGTATTCCCTCCCCAGGCATTTAATTTATGGGTCACTGCTTCTGTACAGATCATTTCCAGTCAAAGAAATACAACTTACCTGCAATAATTCTGTGTGGAGGTGCAGGTGTAAAGGGAGAGTTGAGCTTACAAAAATGTCAACCTGGGAGCAGCCCCAGGAATTGTATTTCTCATAAAAAAAAAACAAAAAAAAAAAAACAAAAAAAACCCAAGAGGCTATTTCGAAATGTTTATTTGATAATGGAGTAGTAGAAATTTTTATTCATTTGAAACTTACCTGTAAGAAATTGTTTGGTTTCTTTTTATTCCATCCAAATATTTCACTCAAAGCCTTTTCTATGCTGAATTCCTTGCAGAGAGAGAACTTTAACTTAAAAACCAACACTTTCACTCTGTGGGCTGTATTTAATTTTTCATCAGATCCAATCAGTTTGTGGTCTTTGAAGGGTTTTTAGATGTGGAATGTCTTGTGGGGTGAAGGTTTTCTTTTGTATCCAACACTTTGAAATCTGGCCAGCACTTCCCACCAGGTATCAACTCTGTTTAGGAGAACATCCTCAGTTCCATGGTTATCCATCCTCTGGATAACCCTGAGCCCTTGGGACCCTGCTTTCCCTGGATCCAGAGACAAAGCACCACAGGGAGTGTGACCGTGTTCACAGGGGTC